TCGGGCTTCGCGGCCCTCGTCCATTTGGCTGCAAGGTTTGGGACCCTGGCTTCTCACGGAAGCTATGGCTCTCTCGCAGGACTAGGGTTGGGAGATTCTTCACTTAGGGTGTCCGGTGTCGTTGGGGGTTCAAGGTTGCCATTTAACCCTAAACCCTAAACCTTAAACCCTGAAGCCTATACCCTGTACTTCAACCCTAAACTAAACCCTATACCCTAAAACTGTTATGGGGTTCTTGAGTGCGGGTTTAGGGCTCATTTAAGGCCCACAGACCCCGGCAGCCCCAAAGCCTTAACACCCCAAATCGAATATAGGGGCCTTATAAATTAGATAGGGTTCCTTTAAGGGGTTCCTTAAAAGGGATACTTTTCAGAGGGGCCTTAATAATTAGAATAGGGTTTGGCCGTATACTATACTATAATTATAGCCGGGGGCCCACAAAAAGAGTATAGAAATTAAGGCTCCTACACTGTTATACTTACACTTCAAACTCTAGGCTGTAAAACCACCCTAAACCCTCAAGGTCAAACACCAAACCCCAAAAACTACGGACCCTAAAAACCCCTAAAACCCCTAAACCCTAAACCCCTAAAACCCCTAAAACCCCTAAAACCCCTAAAACCCCTAAAACCCCTAAACCCCCAGCTTTCTCGGAAGCTTTGCACACCAAGGCAGTGGCGCACCAGATGGCTGTAAGAGAGCTGCATGCTCGAGCGATGGCATCGACCTCTCGACAACCCTGGAGGTTCCCCTAAATGCTCGAAAGGCCAAAAAGGCCAAAACCCCAAAGCCTACCATAAATGACTACTACAGATTTGGAGCGTTTTGGATGGCATCGGCCTCGGGGCTAGCTTTACAGGCTCCAGAAACTAACTACAGGGGTTTAGGATTTAGATGGATTTAGGGTTGGTCTATAAGTTATTGCTGTAAGGGTTAGTACAAGGGCTACTTTCAATGTTCCTCAAGGTTCGGAGGATTTTTTGGGATTTGAACCTTTGTTTGGGAAGGGGGGTTCAGGGTGTTTAGGCTTCTGATGTCTATGACATCTATGAGTTGGTTTAGGGTCGGTAATTCGTATGGTTCGAACACAAGCCACGCAACCAGTAAGCAGGCAGGCACGCAAGGGGATTTTCGCAATGCAGCTTGAAGCATCGATGCTGAGTAAGAACGAATAATGCTGGCTTCTGGCGATCATGGATCTCGGGGCAATGCGTCTGTGCATGCGTCACAATTCGGTCTTACCCTACTGTATGTGTCCATGGTCCCTACAACCTACACTCTGAGGGTCCTTGGCAACGGGTACCACAAGGATCAGGGCATGGCATGTCAGGGTCCAAGTCCACATATAGTAAATACCTCGACCCCTTCCAGGCCTAAGTATGTATTCGTAATATGGGCACACAGACTGCTAATTAAGAAAAAGCCTCGATAGTCGTATCTTGGGCTTGGGGGAGAAGAGAGTGTTGAAGGCTTCGGTTTTGGATTCTCGTGTTGGTTTGGAAGATGCGTTGTCTTCTGCCATTTGAAACGAGGGAAGCTTCGCCCCCAATTGAGGGATCTGCTGTATAATTGGAACAGCAATCTGACGCAACACATGAAGAAATGAATTCGTTTAGGCTGTAGGGTGTGGGGTTTGAGATCTCCTGAGTTCTAAGCCCTCATTGCACTGTGTAAACTCTGTGTTAAATCCCGCCTTCGTTATTCAGTAAACTGTAAGCTCGCAATCAGGAAACAACAAAGCCCAAAGTGGCTAGGTTAGAGTATCACCTCTATCCGAACCGGCAACGCCCTGCTGTTGAGCAACTTCCAGGAAGCCCAATGACTGAGGACCCCTATACAGATGATAAGTACGTGTAAGACCTAGATGTCCAATCCATACCCATAAATCAAATCCTTCACCAAGCCCTCCACTTTAAACGCTTTCGAAGGTGATTCCAGGGCCCCGGACACCGACACAAGGTCACTCTCACGAGGTTCGGAGATGCCCTGTGCACACACGATACAAACTACGGTTTACAGCGCGAGCACTACCTATATGAAGGACCTGCTACTTACTGCACACCAGCACTCAATGCATACTATGAAAATTAGTCTTGCTGTTGCTATAGCTACCACCACCGCTACCGCCGCTACCACTAAGACTTTGCGCACTTGAGGACAACTCGTTCAAGAGTCGTGCTAACAATGACCAGGCAGAAACCAACAGTACATGGCATTATTGAGGAGACGACAGGGGAGGATGACAGACATGAGGACGAAGCTTGAGACGTACGTGATGTCACTGCCGTTGGTAATTACTTCTGAAGATGATGGAGACATGGCAGCTTGCAGCTGATGTTAATGTGATGATGGTGGCGGTGCTCCTGTGGCTGCCGATGAAGAAGAATTCTATGATGATGCTGATGATGACGATGACGATGATGATCGTGCTGGTGCTGATGATGATGATGATGATGACGAGGAGGAGGAGGAGGATGTGCACATAGCAGGTAGACGAGGAAGGGAGGACAGGAGGAAGACGAGTAGGAGGAAGACGACGACGACAAAGACGGCGGCGGTGACGACGGCGAGGACGACGAAGTGGACAATGGAGATGCTTGCGATGGTGATGTCGTGGATGGTGGTGCAATGATGGCCCTGTCGTGGCGGCGACTACAAGCATACTGTAATGGCTGCGATCAACCAGAAGTTGCCGTGAATGCATCGTCGATGTCGTCTGTTCCGGTCTTGATGGCCAAACACTACATAGCATCTCTGACTGCCAGTCTGCATTCTGTCAAACGCGCAGTACCGCATACAAACAGCGGGTTCCTGATGCAACCGTGAGAGGGAAGATGACGACGACTGGCATGACATGATGGCGCAGATAATGTCGTGAATGATGCTGATGGTGGTGCAGGTAATGAAGGGGACGAAGAGGAGGAACAAACCGATTACCACCACGACTGCGGCACCAGCACCAGCCCAACCGTAGCAAGACCATGTAAGTCAGCAGCGCGGTGGTGAGCATGTGTCCATGCCTACTTGCAGATTCTCCGTTTATACTTTCCAGACAGCTCGCCTGCAGCAGCAGGCCGTACAGCCCGGGTATGCCAGAGCTCGAACCTCAGAACGGGTGGGCTCGTTGCAATCAAGAGGCCTAGTATATCACACTACCCTTTTATGGGAACGGTGCTTTCCGTTCTATAATTATAATGTTGGGCAACAGTACAATTTCTTCAAGGAGCCTTGCTTTCTTGGCAGGGCCTGCGGGTGTTTAGCAGGTGTAAGTTCCGGCTGTTGCGATCCGAGAGCCCCTTCTTTTCATGTTGCGACAACTCCTACTTGTGCGAGCAGATGTGGAGAGACATCTCCTTGCATTCGTGGTGGCTCGCCTATTCGGTCGGTTCACATCTCCACGGTTTAGGGCTTCAGAGTCTCATGGTTCTAGGCTGGGTATGAGAGATTGTGGGATTTCAGGGTTGCAAGGTCTCTATAGAGCTAAACCAACACTCCCTGAATTTGGATTGTAGGATGTCTGGGTATAGGTTGCAGGGTTCAGGTGTATAGCGGATGGCGCCCGCATGTGGCAAAGATCCGACCGCTTTTTCCTCCGCCTGCGGCGTGCCATCAGCCGACGCAGTGAGACCTGGAAGAAAGGGATGGTGCAGGGTAAGCGCGGCGCCGAGTTTAGAGGGAGGCTGAATCGTCAGAATACGGTTTTGGTGATATTCTACTACGAGTACTACTGTTCTTTCGGGACTATCAAGGGTACACTATGCCTCATTTTCCCGACCCCTATGTTTCAGCTTTGTTTAAAAGGCCCTTCAGGGCATCGGGCATTAGGTCTTCGACTGAAGGGCTCAGGAGCCAAACTAAAAAACTGCCCACGTAATAATAATAATAATAATAACAACAACAATAATAATAATAATATACGGGCCGCAATAAATACGCAGAGTAGAGCGTTGCGGGGTATATTATGCTATATAGTCATAATAAGGAGCCACCAAAATAGTATTGGTAAGTATGCGACCCTTATCTTACGGCCTTACGACTTATGCCACAGAAGACACCCCCGGCTCCCGAAAGCCTGTGACGATGAAAGCATGCGAAACTGCACCCGCCAGCCTTGAAAGCCTTCAAGAAGAATGGTCTCTGCCCGTTCTGCAATGATGCAGGCAACTTCGAACGCTGGCAAGAGCCGCCCTGAAAGCCCAGACGCCGAGGACAAGACACCCATGTACAGCAGGCAGGGGGTCAAAACTCGGACATTGGACGTGTTGAAGGCTTCAGGCTCAGGGACTCCGGCCTGGCTTGACACCGTCACTGCCCTCAGCTTCCAGGCTTTGACACGGAACAGGGCTCTTGGCGATAACCGCTAATAGTCCTGGGCTGTATCTCATCCCCCAGGTCCCAAGCACTCGGAGCCCGGTACCGAGAACCCAGCCTTCTTACCATCCACAGCAAAACCAGCAGAGCCACGTTGCCCAATTTTTGGTTGTGTACTATCGATTCCGCATGATAGATCATGCTTGAGGGCCGATCTTTGGATTGAAATTGAGCTGACGATGCTCAGGCCCAAGTCAACTGGACCCAAAAGCTGCGGAGAAGCAACGGACACACCCGGCTGGCTTCACTTCAGGGCCTCTGGGACTCGGGGCATTCCTAAAACCCTCCAACCGGAATCCGAGGGTTGACGGCTTGTGGCTTCAAAATGATAGAATCTGTCAAGTTCCCTGGGACCACCTTTTTGCCTCCGATGTCTTCGCCGATGCCCGGACCTACAACGCCCTTCTGCGTAGCTGTTGGAACGCTCCAAGAGCTACCGAGAAGTGCTCCACAGGAGAAGGGACCCTTGACACTAAAGGCTAGAAGCGGCAAAGCGCATCAGTTAATCATGGCTGTAGTTCAGGGCAACGAGGTGATCAATAAAGCAGAGCATGATCCGTCATCAGTTGTGCAGGTAGAGGCGTACTTCACTTGGCGTGCAGTTGCATGCAGGGAGGCGGCGCTGGCTGCTAGCTCTTCAGCAGAACACCTCAAAGGCCAAGGTGCAAAGCTCTTCAAAGAGGGTGCAAAGAGCTTGGGCAGAAGCAACAATGCCATTGACGGAGGAAGATACCGGCGAAGCTGAAACTACGACCTGCATGATAGCCAGGTCTCCACATCCAGGACTTCTGGTTTTCAGAAGCCCATTATAGTATGAGCCCCTTCAATTTCCCCCCCTTCGAAATGCTTCACAATAGTCTCTTGGGTTTCTACCACCGAATGGAAAGCAAATCCTGAATAGAACCCAGTCGCATAGGCAGCAAATGATCACGTACAAGCCGACGCTGCCCAAAGCGGGCCGGATGTCAATGCCTCGGTTTTTTTGCAGGGACGATAAGGGGACACTGTTACCAATTATTCAGACACCCCTATAAAGCCCCTAAGATTCAGGATAACAGGATCTGCTAGGTTTCAGGGTCAGGGCTTTAGCCTTGCATGGGCTCAGCCACCTACCTGTATGTCAGTTAATCGCATCCCGTCTTGCCTTTTTCAAGCCAGAAAGCCTGAAGAAGCTCTTCGTAAAGCTCTAAAGGTAAGCTCCCTTCAAAGCAAAGCTAAGCTTCGTCTTGAAAGCGCCACACCGTGGTGGAGAAGTTGTCGATGTCGGTGCCATCCCGCCTTGTTACTGGCTTTAAGTTTTAGGGGGCTGGGGTTTTAGTGGAGCTGGTGTTTAGGTTCCAGAGTTTGCGGGGGTTTTGGCTTAAGAGTTCTAGGGAATGCGAAAACATGAAACACTACTCCTGATGTTTACTGTACAGTCGCAGTCTCAACTGATGCTGAGGGCTGTACTTTGCACAGCCTGCGACCCAAAATGTGGACTCTGTTTTCTCGGGAAGCATGACTGTGGCTGCGACGACTTTACTGACAGTGATGACTAACATTGCTGTTAGTTTCACGAATAGTGCCTTTCTCCTTGTGTGGCACGTTCTTTAAAGACTAGGCGAGTATCTCTGATGCCGAAATCTGCAACCATGCTGCGAACAGTGCGGACAGGGCTGCCACAGTCAAGGCGATGCTGATGGACACAGCTATTGTCAGCTTCAGGTGCCTCATGGGCTTCGGGCTTAGGGCATAGGCGGTGGGAGGAGGGCATTTTCTTTCAGCCGAAGCTGCTCGGTTCAGGGTTTCAGGCTAGGGATTACATAAGTCCCTCCCTGCGGGGGCAGCGGCCTCATCATTCAAGGCTCCTCTAACGCAAGTGCCATCTGGGCCTGGCACACAAGAAGCCGCAATCCTAAATCTCGAGAATTTCTGCAAGCCTATCATTTATTGTCAAGAGAGGAGTCGACTAAAGCCAACCGTGCTCCGTCATTCAACACCCTACTACCAAGAACTTGGTTCAACTTCTTCTCCCTGGAGAACCTCAACGCCCAAAATAATAGGCAACCGTGCGTAAACGAGCGCCTTTGGCAAAGTAGTTGCGAAATCATTCTACTATTGTTATGACGAAGTCAAAAAAGTCACTGTGACCATTATTAGTCCGAAGGCATAGATATCATGGTTTAGACTATGGTTTAATGATTATGATAAAGGTTTATAGGACTATGAAGGGCTTCCTGTGCTAGATTGTCTCGAATGGCGTGTAGATGGGTAGTTTAACTTATATAAAGTCGATAACTTGTCGATGCTTAAGCCATATAATCTAAGGATAGCGACAAGCATCCATTCCCAAGTTGAGGATTCGGCGCACCATCTTCCCCCGGAGGCTTTATCCCGGTACATCGTTCTCATATGCAATCTTTCGACGACTATATGATATATTATATTTAATCGTCTTGTTTATGTGACAAGCGAGCTAGTCTTGAACCCCTAAAAGTCAACCGATCTCCCGGGGCAGGGTTTATCCTTATATAAATCCTGTGTATATAAACCCTAAACCCCTCCACCGTAAACCTTAAACCGTGACTCTGCACAGGCTTGTATGTCGGCCGAACACTTTGCCGCCTTCTGCAGGGCTCTGTGCCGGACAATATCAACAAGCCCTAGAAACCCTAATGCCGTTGAATCCTAAACCTTATAACCCGTAAGCCGCCAGGCTTCTTTGGTCGCTGTTGTAACTTATAACACGATGGACCCTGAAAGAGATATATATATATATATACGTATATATGTATGCTATATATCATGTATATATATATATATATATGTATGTATGTATATATATATATAGATGGGTTAGATAGATGGTGATATATAAATATATATATATATATGTATAAGGGGTTCAGGGTTTAGGTTGAGAGTTTATGGTTTATAAGTAGATATCCTGGCAATCCCTCGAAATCCTCTGTCTTGGTATAGCAACATAGCCTGGTATACATCGTTAAACATATCGGATGGCTTCGCTGCCCGGTGGGTATAATATGAAACATCTAGTAGTTCATGTGCATACACATATATGTTTTCATCTTAGATAATCTTGTGGGTCATATAGATTCTATATAGGTTTATGTTAAATGTATAGGAACTCATGCTGTGCGGGCTTTTGCCCCAATGGCTCGGTCGAGCTCCGCATCACCTTGGAGGACCGGATGATTTTCACTTCTGGGATTCTGTAGCCTAACTTGCAGGATTAATAAGTGTGATCGGTGTTTTCGGGGCAGGACTTGGCTACGACGGTGGATGACGTGCGATGATCTTATATGAATCGATGGGGTGTGACTCGACAGCACCAAGGTCAGTTCCCATTCGGTGATTACTATGGGAAGCAGTGTAGACTATTGTGCCATCCAAGGCACCTGGCTATGCTGAAATATGGCATGGTTTCTTTAGAAGTGCCCCGCCATGTCATTCCTTGCTTTAGCGATGCTGAAGCTGTGCACGGCAGGTTTCCTGATTGTTGCCGACAGTGCTGCACTTTGAAGCTCGAGGGTCCTGTTTGGAGG